AAGACCCAAAATTGAATCCCGGTTCACCTTAGCCACATTCACCAAGTTCATTTAACCAAATTCACCAAATTAAAAATCTTTCTTTAGTGGGTCATTCACTCACTAAAAAACTCAAGCCAAATCAAAAGAACAATGAGTGACTTGATCCCTCAAGAGGGTACGTGGGCAATCTAGGGCTCAACCTAGGCGTAGTCGCAAAATCAAACAAACACCAAAATCCTCAAGTTACAATTTATTCATATTGGAATCAAAGGGTTTTTCCTTTTTAACAAAGGATTGTAATAGATGCATGGTCTAGAATGGGTTGAACTCAAATTAATAACACCTTCTTTGGAAAAATGAACGAGGGTAAAATTGTGTCGAGTGAATTATTTGTTTACATATTGGTACAATTTTTGCTCAACACCGTGATCAATTTTCTTCCTGAAAATTTTGCGATCAATTTAACTCTGTTTGAATTTGTATTATTTCTTCGGGCAACATAGATAACTTTTGGTTTGTTGGTGAGGCATTTTGAATGCTTATCAGTTATTTACTAAATGTGGTTTTATAGGAACTATTTGAACTTTCTTAGGATGCCTGTTTTAAAGGACAAGGATTGTCTGCCCTCTCACTTCCGGTGCCCTCCCGTGCCCTCCTATTTGTGTGGTCAAGGTTAAGCCATGTCAACATTTTATATTACGATTCATTTTTGTCTTATTATCTCTATAAAAAAAATATATATAAAACGTTGACGTGGCGTAACCGTGACCACACAAAACAGGAGGGCACAGGAGGGCACCGGAAGTGGGAGGCCAGACAATCCTTGCCCTGCTTTACAAGTAGGCTGAAGCACTGTGTGCGCAGTTAAATGGTGATGGTCATGTAGATGCTTGCATTACATTTGACAGTGATGCATTCCTCTTTGGGGTTAAATGTGTAATAAAAACCTTTCGATCCAATTCCAAAGTAAGTATTGACATTTTCTTTTTAGGGTTTTCGTCCAGTTTCATGCGAGGGGAAATAATTGGGATTTTAGATTTTAATATCCTCCAAAATATTAAAAAAAACATCCACCACGGGCCGATGGCGTGGTGAATTTTCAAAAGGCGGTGTGGTCATTTGAAGTAACCACAATGAGAATATTGTGTGGTGGTTTTGATATTCCATCACGAGATTAATAATTATTCACTTTTAACAACAGGTCAAAATCTGACCGTGGTGAATTAATGTAATCTACCACGAGCTACATTTAACCATGGTAATTGAATAGTTTCTACCACGAGCTGTTGATGCCGGTGATGGAATTGATGTGGTAAATATGCTGTTATGTACTAGTGTCAATAAGTTGAACTGTCCCCAGCTTCAGCAATTGTTTCTGCTTTTTCTTATATAATTTTTATGCATACGAACTCATATGTCTTCTCTTGCCAGTTCTCTTGCCTTACTATCTTTTCAGGCACTAAGAGAAACTCATTGTGTGCAGGAACCATTTGAATGTTACTATATGTCAGATATCGAAGCTGGTCTTGGTTTGAAGAGCAACCACTTGATTGCTCTCTCTCTTTTGGTTGGAAATGACCTACGATTTAAATGGGATCCAAGGCATTGGGCTTGATACAGCTCTTCCTTTTGCCCAAAGTTTTTGTGAAGAAGAGATAATGAGTAGGGGTATGATACAAACTGGTTTCATTTTTGCTTAAAATGTTTATGAAATGAATTAAAGATCACATTTCACGCAGGTTATGTGAAATAGGCAATGGTGATGGTTCTCTCTTTCATGGTGGTATGAAATCTGTGTATGATAGCATACCCAGATTGGATGAGAGCCATTAAAGACAAAATTTTCTCATTGTTCTTTTCATGGGTATCCCGGCAGCAAAAAAAATCATTTCAAGTCTTCCTGTGAATTCTGTATCAACGCAGTTGGTGAGGGTTGCATGAAAAAATCAGAGGGGTTCAAATGCAGTCTCTTCCTGTGATATGGTACGTTGATTTCCCATTCTGATACTTAGGCATCACCATGAGTATATCACCCTTTCTAGTATGTTATATCATATCAACACAGTGGGCCCATCATAAGTCCAATTCAGATAGTGTTTGTTACAATAGTTAGCAATGTTCTTGTATTCCATCCTGTTGGATTTTTAGATCGCTAGGCTCACCCCACTCTAACGACACCAATACTGCCCCCAACTTCACCACCTACCTAATCCGTCAGGTGTGGGGTTTTACCAAGATTGTAAGGAAAAGGAGCAGAAGAAGCGAGAGAACTGGCGATTGAAAGTTCTCAGCAAGATTACACTGGAGCCAAATTTCCCTAATGATGAGATTATTGAAATGTATTTGCGCAACAACCATGGTTACTTCAATGGTATGTTTCAACATTCTTCCTACAACTGGTACAAATATGGAACAATTTCTTTTACATAGAATGGATCCAGTAGGGCTCAAGAAAACATTTGTTTTTCAGAAAGGAGTTTGTCTCTTGCATATGTTGTTTTGTGAATGTATCTTGCCATTTTCAGTGTGCAATCATGATTTAAATTTTTTGCACAGAAAATGACGGTCCTAGAGTATCATGGGCAAATCCAAAGACTGAGATGCTGGTTCAGTTCTTGACTTATCATCAGCGGTGGGAACCGTCTTATATTCGCTACAGGATGCTGCCTATGCTTTCAACTATTTTTTTTTTTTGAGGGAAATGGCTAAAAATCCCGTGAAATGTTTATTATATGGGCAGTATAAGTTCAATTCCATAGACCGCTTGAAGATAAGATATGGGCACCAATTTTATGTGGTCAAGTGTAAAATAGCTGCACCTACATTGGGTTGTGTCAGTTACTCAATCCCCCGGAGGACTCAGATATGCAACAAGATGATGTTATGGAGGTTGATGAATCCTTTAGTCCATTGGACGAGTCTGATGTTCCTACGATAGATATTAGTGGAGGGTGTTGCTTTTTGTTGACCGATGAAAATATGGACCTCGTCCATGCTGCTTTCCCAGTGGAAGTTGACAGATTTTTGCAGGAGAAGGTGTAATTTCTTTCCCCTTTTATTGTTCTTTTTTCTTATTTATGGTTTCGTTTTCCAACTCTCTTTCCCGGCTTTTTTAAAGGGCACTAAATGATCATGGTGTCCTCTTATGAATTAAGCAAAATCTTACAGGCCTGTGTGCCTAAAACTTGCAGGAACTGAAACAATTGAAAAGAAGAAAAACGACTGGTGGAAAGCCAGAAACACCAGGACCAGAATACTGATAGTCAGATAGCTGAAACTAGCAAAGAAAAGAGAAAACCGTCGAGTTCAAATCTCCCTAACTCCGTGAGACGTCATCTTTTGTTTTGACTATGGCAATTTCAGATCTGAGGCCCTTGCTGCAGCTATTTAGGAATATCATTTACAGATGTATGGTTAAGTGAGTCCTACCTGTCATGAGCTTGCCATGTGTATTTTTGTAAAAAATTAAGGTTTAGGTTAACATAGGGTTTAGGGTTTTTGCATCTTCATTAAGTGAGCAAAGCAAGATTTCTGGTGTGTTTCTTATGAATTTTTAAAGCTACCTCTTTTTGTTTTGCTGTAATGCTACCTCAAGTCTGATGGATTCATCATTGAACTACGTTGATGTAAATTCCAAGTTCCAATTGACATCTAGTGAAATCAAATCTCAAACAACTTGTAGTTTGCCTATGGAAAACATGTTGCAAGTAGCTTTTTTATTTGATGCGATATGTGGAACAATAGCTGGTTAAGGAACCACCTTTGGTTGGCACGGCATGGTCATGAGATTGGGACACATGTTACGTTTTAACTAGACAATGTCCATCACTAAGCTTGTCGTGCTCCCCATCTTTCATCCTTTTCTCTAGATTATTGTGTGCGTTTCGATTTTCGGGTTTCTGTTAAAATATTATGTGCGCCGCCAATTTTCAGGTTTCCATTATATTATTGTGTGTGTTGTCAATTTTCAGGTTTCCGTACCACAACTGTATGTTAAGCTCGTTGTGTTACACCAAAATTGTTAATTATCCTATTGATGCATGTTCATTTACTTCCAATAGATATTGAAATTGTTTTGATTCTTGGCTCCTCGTGCTTTTACTAACGCATACAAAATCGCGGCTACATGTTTGAGCTCATTGCATTTCACTAAAATTTTTAATTGTGCTTCTAATGGCATATGTTTATTTACTTGAAAAATTCCAATTCTTGAGAAACGCATATAGAATCACGATTGTACGTTGGAGCTAATTGCATTGCGCCGAAATTTTTAATTGTGTGGCTAATGATATATGTTTATTTCATTTACTTGAAATTTACATTGAAGTTGTTTCGGTTGATAACTACATACGTTTACTAAAGCATACTGAATCTAAAGTATGTTGGTTTCATGCTACAATTCGTAAATTAATACTAGGAAAATCATGAATAAGATTAAATGATGAATTGGAAGGTAGTTCATCTCATTCTTCCCTCATTCCAAGTAAGTAAACATGCCATAAAAAATTTGAAACGTACATGACATTCTGGTCAAAACAAATCCATAATAGGAGGGTAACTGAATAAAACACACATGTATGTAATTATTTAGTTACCCTTGACCACCTTCTACTTCTTCTATAACTGGCAGTTGTTCCTAAGTATGATTATCATGCCAATTTTACTTTTGACTTTGTTATAGTAATTAATGATTATTGTTACAGTCTCTTTTTAAATTTGGACTCCCAAGAAACTTCTACTTGTTCAAAATATTTGAAAAACTTTGGATGCTCAAATCTATACCCAACTTACCTGATTTGCTGAAGAAACAAATGTTTATCTCCTCATAATTGTAATTAACAATACTTCTCATACATTTTCTGTAACAAATTGTTAGAACTTACAACACTACTATCTTCAGGTAACTTACGACACTCAGCCCCAAACTTGTACTGTATAAGGATTTCAAATATCTGCATAAATTACGGATTATTTTTCTCGTAAAATCTTTTGTAAGATTATAGCAATCATGCGAAGCCATGAATGATGAGAAGGCCGTCCCAGTCGAATCTATGGAGAATTGTAGTCCAGTATTTGAAGGTGTCACTGTTTTGGCTGTTGACGCCGATTCTGCATGTCTTACTTTACTATCAAGAATGCTTTATAAGTTGGGGTATAAAGGTAACTACCAGAAAACAAAACAGTCCTCCTCTTTTTTTGGTTGAATTTGGTATGATTATATTTAAATTATTTTTCTCCCTGATAGTTTCTAACATAATTTACTCTTAATTCCTATCAGTTTTGACAGCAAAAAGAGCCTGTGATGCATTATCCATTGCTCAGAAGAAGGAAAATGAGCTTCATCTTCTTCTGACTGAGGTTCACTTGCCTGACATGGACAAATATGAGCTCCTAGAAAGAATGAGAGCAGTTTCCAAATTACCAGTTGTTAGTAAGTCCTCAATCACAAGGGCACCATTTTTTTCTTTTGTTGGCAAGACAATATTTTAAACTATTCTAATTTATAGAAAAGGAAATTCAAACCTGGGTGTAAGGCTTCATACACACTAGCCCTAGCCAATTTTCGTAACCAATGTCTGCAACACTATTGCTATTACTTTTCATTTACTTGTATAAATGTCATAAAGGAGCTGTTCATTCTCTTTATCATCAATTAATGATCAACTATAAAAGATCTCATTGAATTTGGAGACTGGTTAGCCATCCATATTTGTTTATTCATCTCCGAATCTAATGAAATTTTTCTGTAGATGATATTTAGCGGTGATAATTAAAGAGAAAGAGCGGTTTTGACTATGACTTTGATCCGATGAAATGATGTCACATTGTTATTAAAGAAGAAAATTGCTTCTTACATGTAACAAGCCAGGTTTGTCAACATTCTATCCATAGAGTTAGGCCTCTCTGATAGCATATGTTGCTGGACTTCCTATTCTAATTTTTGAATTTTTTATATTTTAACTTTCTTAATTTTTATGCAGTTATGTCTGATGATGATGATGCGAATGCCATGCTAGGTGGGCTGTTCAAAGGGGCAGTATATTACATTGTTAAACCACTCACAATGGACAGCCTAAAAAACCTATGGCAATTTGCATTCATCAGCAATAGAGATGCAGTCACCATCAACAACAATAGAGATGCAGTGATAGATCTCACTGCAGATGACAGCAGTGGTGAGTTCCAACAGGAGTACACATCAAATGAGGGTTTGGAGATTGAATCGATTATGAAGAAAGAGAAGCAGATCAGCCATCGAAAATCGCTGAAACGGAAAAATCCAGAAGGGATGAACAAAGATAAGGGAGGAGATAATTCTGATTCAACTTGTACCCAAAAGAAGCCAAAGATGGTTTGGACTAATGAGCTTCATAAGAAATTTGTGCAAGCTGTTACGTTGCTGGGAGTTGATAGTAAGAGTCTCTTCTTACTTTTTTTATACAAGCAATCTAAACTGCGGGGATGGGGATTCGAGCTTGGGTTCATAGGGGAGAGCACATCCACTCTAGCCAATAAGGTTGCACCTACGTATGCAGATTCTCTTCATAGTATTTTTTTTGCTGAATTTTATTCTTGCTTTGGTGCCATTCAGAATTATGGTAGCTAATTTATTTCTTGACTTAGGTGCTCATCCAAAGAAAATACTTCAGCACATGAATGTCCCTGGCCTGAGGAAAGAAAATGTTTCAAGCCATTTGCAGGTTTGTTTCTTCGCAAATTCATATAACAAGAAACATCAACAGATTCTTTGCTCTGTAATCCTTGATTAAGCATTATTTTCCGCAGAAGTATCGCCTCTCCTTGAAGCGGGAACAAGAAGAAATCATGATGAGGAAGGCCAGAGAAACTAAAGAATCAAGTTTTCCTGCATCACCGTTAAACTTTCCAGGAGGTTCTTCAAATCAGTTTCCAAACCGATCACCCTTCACATCAACAGCATATCAACCAGAAATTAGAAGCCATTGTCGGAACCCAAGTAGTAACATGACTAGACCTTCCCCTGGTTCTACTTTTGTATGTCTTCCTAGTACTCAATCAAGCAACGAATCAACTTTTGCATCAAACCATTTTTCATCAAATTACAAAAATGGGCAACCAACCCTAAGCAATCACTTTGGAAAGGTTGCAAGCTATACGAACTTCGATTTCCCAATATTGCTGCATAATTATATACAACAAGAAGAGCATCAGCAGCAACTTATTCAACCGCAGGTTTTGTTTTCCATCGCAAATGCCCTCACCGCTGCCTCCGCCAGAAGAGCAACAAGGAAATAACATTTTTGGGAGTGAAAATCAACTTCAACCACAGGTTCTACTGGCACCGCCATCACTACCACCACCAGCAGAGGAGCAAGAGAACCATGATGACATTTTTGGGCTTGGAAAGCAGTTGCAAACAAATGATGTGCTACTGTCACCACAATGGAAATTGCCTTCACTGGCACCAACACCAGCAACACAGGAGCAGAAGGAAACTGATATGTTTGGGATTGAAAGAGGAGATACGGATGACTTATTCGACATTGCAAAAGGCACGACTCAGCAGTTCCATGATGTCAATTTCGATGATTTTTGGTGAGTTCTGGTGGTGATCAAGCATATATCTTGGGTATGTTAATGCCAGTGTAAGTGTAATGTAAGCTTCATAAAAGGCTACTAATTATCCATACATACAAAACATTAATACAGAAAATTATACTCAGTTGTAAGCTGTTTTCTCAATGACAAAAGTGACAGCATTATTGGACACTGAGGATTTCATATATTCAAGGTTGAGAATTGGGTGAAACTTAATTTCTTTTTTGTTAATAGATTTTAAGTTTATTGTTACAAGGACGTAGGCGACATTAATTTCATGAATGCATACATACTTTATAATTATTATTCAAATTGATCCTTCAAGGCTTGGTTTGTTTCTGTTGCAAGCCAAGCTCCTCCAATGTAAATTTGAGTCTATTTCGACTTGAAAACGAGTTGTATCGGGCCGATTTACAGCACTAATTAAGCACTGATTACGAACAGGAGGGTGATATATGTATCAAATGTTAATCTTTTTGTGCTCTGCTGTAACATTAAAAGATTTTTAATTTTGGTTTTGATGTATCAGTTGGTAAAACAGAGAAGAATTTTATGGGCTGTTTGGCTGTTTGGATATAAAATTTTGTTTTTAAAACTAGGTAGTACATTCATTATTTTTAAAATACAGAAATTGGATCTAAGAAGGTTATCCAACATTTTTTTTTTAATTTTAAATAATTTTCAATTAACTATTTAGTCCTTTTTTTTTCTTGTTCTATTTAGTCCTTTCAATATTAACTTCTTTTTAGTTAATGCAGAAAGCGCATATGACACTTTGTGAAATGTGAATGTATGCACTTCCAGGCATATATCGATTTTTAAGTCAATCATGAAGGATCGTCACTATTTTTTTTAGAAAAGGAAGATTAAGATTAGGCGAGTCGATCTAACACATAAGACTTGGTTATTAGGTTAAAATAATAGTCTTATTTTCTAAACCAGTACAAGACGGTCATAAAGGATCAAGGCCTTGATAATTAGCCATCAACTATAAAGTGGGTAGGGGTGGGTTCGGTTCTATTCGGTTCGGTTTTGAAGAAGTTGAGGTTCCACCATAAAACCAATTGGCAATATACGAAGTAACCCAACATCTTATAAGCCTTTGCAAGGTTTTTCCTGCCATCAATGTGGGATTCATTCTCAACATGCCCCCTTACGTGTGGTGAATATTTAAGCCTAACACGTGGACAATACAACGGGATGACGTGGAGCGTGTGTGACCGTTTGACTTCGTAGGTGTGACAACCTGCTTTGATACCATGAAGAAGTTGAGGTTCTACCATAAAACCAGTTGGCAATATAGGGAGTAGCCCAACCTCTTATAAGCCTTTGCAAGGTTTTCCCTCCCATCAATGTGGGATTCATTGTCACCAAGTTTTTAGCCAAAACCGGAAATCGAACCTAAATTACTGTTCTATTTGTTTTGGTTCGATTTTTTGTCAGTTTGTGTTCAGTTCGGTTTGTATTTGGTTTGGTTTCAGCCCGGTTCGATTAATTTTTTTTCCCCAATAGCCCAAAAAAAAAAAATTCTTAAGAAAACAAAGCTTGCAACCATTTTGTAATACATATTCCAGAGGAGTATAAATAAATTCAAAGTCCCATTTCAACATAATCGATAAAATAAGCATTCCAAATTTCCAATAGAATCAAAGACAATGAAAATAAATATTCAAATTTCAATTACAATCAAGTCTTCCAAAGTCCAACGTTAAATAAACATCAAAGTTCAAATCTTCCAAAAGTCCAACTTAAAATAAATATCAAAGTTCAAGCCTTCCACACCTAAAATAAGCATTCCAAAACCTGAACTTTAAATAAATATTCAACTTAAAATAAACATTACAACTAAAATCATAAATTCAAGTAAACATCCAAAGTTCCATGCTTTGCACATACTTCTTCAAGTTCTCAAGATCAACGCTCAACCATTTCAAATTTGAATGACAATTTGCTTGCTAACGCTTAGGTGGCCTAGGGGGCAACCTAGCACCTTTTTTTGAACTTCCACTTGCCATTTATGCATACAAATAATTAAAGAAAGGGTACTAATTAAAATGTTATTTAAAATAATCTAACAAAATCAAGTGCAATAAATAAAATTACCTTTCTCAACTTCTTCACAAAACTCAATCTCCTCAATGGTTAGCTCATGATGTAATGCAACATGGATAGACCTAAGACAATTTTGAGTACATATCAAAGCCTCCACCATTTTTGGACTTAAAGAACTATGATATGGATCAATTATCTGTCCACTTGTGCTAAAGGAGGATTATGAAGCAATGGTTGATACGGGAATAGCTAAGATCTCTTTTGCAACACGTGCCAAAAAAGGGTACTTAGAAACCCCATTCACCCTCCACCAATTCAATATATCAAGGTTCTCCTCATCTTCTCCTTCATTAGAATCGGAAAGATACTTGTCCACATCATTATGCACAAAATAATAAGAGGACAGTAGTTAGTACTACAAACTTATACAAAAGTAAATATTAATTAAAACTGTAACATTCACTATCTTAATTGCATACTGTAACATTCACTCTAATAACACCAAAACAATTACAACAATATGAAAATCTGAACTTGCATAATGAGTTAGCTACATTGCATAACCACACACAAAAAAATTATTATTTGATAATGCAATGCATACAGATAAAGGGCAAGTGAAAGAAAATCTGGTGCTAATAGATTATTACACTAATATAAGCATGTGTAGGTACTAAGGCATACCAATCGATGAAAAGAGGAAAGCATTATTACACATGCCTCAACATATTGCATCAAAGTTAACGTGTGTTATCTCATTATATTGCATCAAATTATAGGAAAGCATTAGTACAACTTCCAATTTGTAACATTGTCGATTCATTTGCTAAAACCTAATTTCTCTGGACTCATGTCCTAACTCAATATATTTGCAAACATGTTGGAGATACATATAGTTGTAGAAAAGAATACATTCCAAAGACCTCCCTCCCTCTCTCGCGGGCGCGCGCGCGCACACACACACACACTCTCTCTCTCTCTCTCTCTCTCTCTACAATTTATAAAGTTACAGATATATAGTTGGATGGCATGCAAACCAACCCACTATGGCCAAAAGGTTTACTTTTTAATTTTGATAGTGAGCAAAATACCAAAACCCTCCCAGAAAAATCTAAAATTACAATCTATTGAAATATCTCAAATTCTCATGACCACACTACACATATAATATATTGTTGCATAAAGAAACCTAGAAAATCGGCAAATTAATAGAAAATGCAAAGTATGAATCCTCCTATAATCTTTATCGACAGAAAATGCAAATTAATAATTGAAAATCTGTAAAGGCCACTATTTGTCCAATCAGAACCAATTTGAAATAGATAAATAGAATAGAAAATTAAACAAAGAGAAGTGAGAGTGTGAAACTAACTTTTTGCTGTCGAGATTTGAAACAACAAGAAGAAGTTGATGGCGAGATGAGAGACTGACAGCGAGGTGTAGGAGATTGAAAGTGAGAAGGTTCATAGGTCGCCACTGGGAGTGAGAGACAAAGAGTTTGAGAGAGTGATTGAAGACCGAGAGAGAGAGAGAGAGAGGGAGAGGAGGCTCAAGCCGTGCAAACTGGGAAAATGGGAGAGAGGAATACGTGGAGGCCTTAGGGTTGTACTTGGGGTAGAACGATGCCATTTCTAGAATAAGATTATTAATTAATAAAATAATTACAAACAACGTCGTTTTGAAGAACTTCTATTCAGTTTTCAAACCCTAGAAACTGAAACCGACCTAACTAGATTCGGTTTGGTTTGGTTCAACAGATTCGGTATTCTTTTTTTTTTTTTTTTTTTTTCAGTTTGGTTTTTTCGGCCTCGGTTATGTTTTCAGTCCAGTTTTTTTTTCGGTCTTTGGTTTTTCCAACCCACCCCTAAAAGTGGCTACTTCCTTTCCACAAAGAGCCATTAGAAAGGGCTAACTCCGCAATATAATGAACCCCATGTCCCCTACCTCCGTAATTTTATTAAATAACAAAGAGATATAAGAAAATAAATACATGTGGGGGTGACGAAGCTAAAATCCGCATATAAAAAAATACATCAATGAAAAAGGAAAACTGAAGGAAGAAAATTTCTCGAACCACAGTCTTAGCTAATCGAAATGCTGATAAACCACCTGGATCATCAACTCCATAATTAGCTAAAGCAATCGGCCACCTAAAAGTCTGGATATATAAGCTAGACAAGCTAGCAGACTTTGAAGCAAAGCTATAAGAACCACCAACGGACGGGAATCATCTCACGACTGCGAGGCAAACAAGTAAACCATTGCGTGCGAAGAATCCAAGGAGGATCAAAATCATTCGAACAAACAAATGAAATAACACTAGAAGAGTCACTTTCCAACTAAAGTTCTCTAAAGAAAAGAATTGTGATGGCTAATACTTGATAGAAACGACCAAGAAACCAACCACAACAATCTCTGAAAATGACTCCACAAGCAGCAAGACTAGGATTTCATTTAAACAAACCATACATTCTGTTTGGGCGAAGATTTTTCAAATATTAACCCAAACACATTCTAAGTTTAAACCATAGGTACCAAGGAATAGACCACAACACGGAGAATAGTATGAGCCTTGCAAGGAATGGGCTGAATCCCTAAAGAAGAATTGATATGAATATATAACCCTTTACCGTATTTAGGAATAAACTTCCCACCACGAACAAGCTTAAAAAAAAAGACTTGCAAAGATAATGGACACAGATTGATCGACCCTCAAAATTAAACTTGTTTCTCGCTTTCCAAATAGCTGAAATCAATGGCGAAGCTACATAGGGGCAAGGAGTGGCGGCCACCCCTCCCTTCACTGGAAATTAAGCCCAGGAGCGGTGGTTTTGCCCCTCTAGTCTCGTCAGAAGTGGCTTCTAATGCGATGGTTCTATCTATGTTCATCTGAGTTGTTGCTGGTGCGCAACTCTGTTACATTTGGCTTTATTATTATTTTTAGTTCCT